ATTATATAAGCAAATATATACGCCATATTTTGAGTACGATACAACAAATAAAATGAATGGAACGATATTTTCCGTAGATAAACTTTATTTCTCAAATGTTTTTAAACGCTGTAAAAATCTTTCACTTCTTTAATCATTTGAAAAAAGAAGTGAAAGTTATGTTTGTTTGATGGTAATTTTTGGAGTTGCTCACTTTTGGAGAGGTATTTGCGTGGTCCTTGCAAGAATAATTAAAAAGCATGACAAGCCAAAGCAAAGCATAATTTCCATCCTTAAGCATGCCATGCTCTAGAAATATATAATCACAATTTCAATTTTTAATCATTGCGGTTAGTTAGTGTGTGTGTGTGTATATATATCTATTGCGTGATAAATGAGGCCAAGTCAGTTGGAGCAACTTTGAAGATTAAAACAGAAATAATTTTATAGAAAAACATCAAAATTATTAACAAGAAGGTGTCCTACAAAGAAGCTAATCACTTCAATAATTCTGGAGTTGGTAAAAGTGTTCATGATCTCCGTTTACTTTTGGATGGTCTTGGGCGACTTTTGTTGAAGATCACAAATATACTATTTTCAATAAACAAATAATCTTAGAGATTCATATATAAACAAACTGAATAAACTTCAAATGTCAATTATAGGTGTACTTAAAATGTATTGAAAGAGCTTCGATTAAATCCTCAATGTTTGGTTCAAACAACAAAACGATGTTTGGTTGAAAATTGAAATATACATGTAATTAGATATACAAAAAGAGAAAATCAAAGAGCCTTGATTAGAAGATATAATAATTATAGAGACAGATTTGTTACATTAGCTCATTGGATTTTTTTACCAAAAAAACTTAGAGAGACAAAAGTCCATCAGTGTAATGAGAAAACTGTAACTCTTGGTTTAACTCCCCAAAGTCAACGACTTCATTCTTGCTCCTGTAATAAAGGTTGATCCGACTCGGAAACAGAACCTGGAAGAGCACCAAATCAGATTGTATTTCATGAATCCTTATTGGAAACGATGGATAGTAACGGTTCAACGTTTCCTTGAGCCCAATACGGTGCGTTTTAACCCAAGCAGATCCATTTGAGCCATTCATCATCCAAATCTCCATGCTTGGTTCAAGAGAATTGTAATCTATCACCCAGAGATTCCCTCTTATGCCACATAAGCTAAAGTCATGATTAGGGTTTTCTTCAAAACATGGAGGTGGAGGCAGAAGAGAGAACTTCTCTTGTTCTAGAGAGAAAGACACGATCTTTGGAACATGTTTTGTTGTCCAATAAATGAATCCATTAGCGTGAACAGGAGGGTATGGTTGTAGAAGGTAAGGACATTGTTGTTCTTGTGATTTCCATGGAGAGATCTCGAGATGATGCTTGTAGTTTTTTCCCGTGATGCTAATGGTGAGTACTTCGAATTTGCAGATTGGGTTATAAGGAAGGAAAAATCTGATGATTTTGTATTGTAATGTGGAGGAAACGAAGCCGAAGGAGATAACATTAGGGGAAGAAAAAGAAGAGGATTTGGGTAGTTCTAGAGTTTTTTGGTTAATAGGGTCAAAAAGAAAGTGTTCCTTGTCGGACACGAAGCATAGAAACTGATGATTTGAAGAGAAAACCCTAACTCTATCTCCAAGAAAGCGTTTTGTAACGGGATGTTTATGGTTGGGAACTACGGTGAGGGATGTCCGAAAAGCGGCGAGAGCGTTTAGAGCGGCGCGAGAGGTGTCTTTTGGTTTGGTGAAGAGGAAGAGTTGGAGCTCTACGGTGAGTGAAGAGCGGAGAGAAGTGAAGGCGGTGAGGATGGAGAAAGAGTTTAGGGAAAATCGGTGGTGGAGATGGAGGAAGTAGGGTTCGGAGATTATGGAGTTGAATTGCTTTGAAAGTAATCGGAGTTTTGGTAATGTTTTGCCCGGAAGAAAAGAGAGGATTATGAGAATAACTTCAGGAGGTAGAGAAGAAGAGAACATTTTTGGAAAGAGCATCGAAGAGAATATTGAAGAGAACAATCTATGTATATGTATGTGAATACGTGTTCGCCAAGAATTCAGGTTAGGAATTTAAGAGTAAGAAGGCAAGTATTCCTATTTACTTTTATTTATTTTTAATATTTTGTAACTTTATAAACATTTACAACATGAGGACTAATTAATTACTATCCCATTACTAAAATATATAAAACATAAAAACAATACTACTATTTTACATTTTTTAAATATCATGGTCTTACTTGAAATTCTTTAATTTACATACTAATGACATGTTAATTTTCAATTACAGTTTTTACTGTCACTTGTAATTAAATACTCTCTTCGTTTCTTAGAGAATGATATTTTGGGTGTTGCATATATTAAAAAAAAAAGTAAGTCCAACCATTTTTAACACATTTTGTCACTTTCCAAGACAATTAAATCATATTAGTACCAATGAAATTCATCTTATAAAAGAACATGCATTAATCAGAAGCCAAAATATCAATCTTTTAGAAACAAGAATAAAACTCAAAACATCATTCTCTAAAAAATGGAGGGAGTAGTTTTCATTGACCAAAAAAAGGCAACTATGTATCTTTTAAATTATCAAAAATGAATTATTTGATAATTTTGAAAGTCCACAATAAAGTAACTAATTTATTTTATTAATTAAATTACATGGATATAATATGTTCTATCGCTTTTCATATGAGAAAAAAAGAATTACTCCCTTTGTTTTTTTTAATATAAGATGTTTTCACTTTTTAATGCACCATTAATTAATTTTTTAGTGTTTTTATTTTTTTAAATTCTGCAGATTAATTTATTATTGGTTGAAATGTTTTGGATATATAAAAAGTGATATTTTATTTC